ATGCAAACTACAGTTGATTTAAAAAAAAAAAAATCATAAAAATTAGAGATGGGAAAATCTAGCTGGCTCATCCAGTCCATCTTCTCACATTCTAGCCCAGACCAGTTCCTGCAAGATTCTTGCCTACAGTACATTTGGCAGTGCATTATCAAGTCTGGTTGTGTATGATTTAAGCAATGGGCATCCTTTACTCCCATGACAGACTGTTCCACAGATGACTATTTTTCACTGTTTGGGAGAGGATTCTGAAGTTTTCTTTCTGTTCTGCCTGACCTAATTTCTCTAAGCTCTGCCCATGGTAACACATTAGCCAAATGTTCTCCTTCCCTCATGCATACCCTGTTCAGGTGATGGCAAATCTCGTACAGTCAAGATGTTTAGCCACGATGCTTAATACTTAGCTGTGAAACTCAGCAATTATAATCCTTGGCTACTTGGGAAAGACTAGTGTTGAGATTCACATGTTAATGGTTGCGCAGAACATAGAAGACATTGCTAGTAGCACTGGCTCTTTTTTATACTAGTCACTTGACACGTCTCATCACAAGGTTTGGCTTTGGTTGCTTTTGCCTTTGCCAGACTTGGAGCCAAAATCTTTTAGCTCACGTCTGCTTCAGCTGTTTTATTGAGTTCTTCTTGGTTTTGTTTTTAATTTCAGTCAAAACCACTTAGTTGTTTCTGAGAACAAGGCTAGCAGGGGAATATTCTGTTTTATGCACATTTGAAAAAAAAATTTGATGACTTTTTCTTTTAGAAAAACACCCTCTGAGCAATGTCTTGCTTTAAAATAAATCACTTTTTTCTTTTTCTGTCGTGAACAAGCCTTTTGCCATCTATGACAAAATCCTCCACAAATTTGGCTAAATAATGAGCCTTTGAGTAATTGCATTTTGAGCCTGCTCAGAAAAGAAATAAATAAATGCGGGCTGGGAAGGACAGTCGCTTATTTATTTATTTTTAAACTGTGGGCCTGATGGAAATAATAGCACACGATTTAAGGCCCAGATTACAATGCATTTTCTCAAAGGGCTCTGGATGTTGTTGCAGAGTCATTTCGCTCTGGCATCCCCTGGCCAGGATGGTGTCACCCCTCCTAGATGCCTCTTGCCTGCAGCCGGGGTCACCCTGGGCAAGTGATGTCTATGCCTGGGACTGGAGCTGTCCAGGCGAGCAGAAACCTGGCTGTGAAGAAACAGGGAGGTACAGAGAGGAAGAGGAGAAGAGAGAAAAGAAAAACAATGAAAAAAACCCAACCCAAAAAAAACCAACAACAGCAGAAGAGAGGGAGACGCCCAAGTTTTCTGCCATCTGTCTCCAAAATATTTCTCGTTTCCGTTTCCACCAAGCAGGGCACTCCCTTCCCCCAGGACATGTAGGGAAGCCTGGGCGCCCTGTGGCTCGCTGGCCACGGAACACAGGAGCTGCATCTGCCCCTGTGACACTGCCCGCTCCTGGCACCCCCGGTTCCCTCTGGGCCTCCAAGGCACAGGGCGGGGGCCCCAGACTTGTGACACCACTGCCCTGTCCCAACCTGTCCCCTCCCTGGTGCACGAGAATCCCTGTCGCATTGCTCACTGCAGTGTCAAGGGCAGGGAAGGCAGGAGCACTGGGGGTGGCACTCAACAGCAGGACTGGCCATGAAGCCACTGCTCCAAAATGCCATGAAGGAATGGAAAGGGATCTGAAACCTTCATTAAATCTAGGCTGGAAAAAAAGGAAGTGCCATCAATTCTAGAAAATTATTAAGACATCCAGGAAGATAAAAGGTGCAAGTATAATATCTAGCACCGTTGTTTTCAAAGCACCCACTGTAACATAACCCTTCTGCTCAGTGCTGTAAAGAACGCTGGTGTTATTATCCACTTTAGACCAGCCTATTAGATCTTGGCTCCTCTGATCAACACTTGCTACTGTCTCTGCTCTGTCACAGAAGCCAGCTTGAGAAACTAGAATGTGCCTTCTGGCCACTTTGGTTGATGTACCTCTTGCCATGCTGATTCTTTATTCATGAATCCTTCGCCTCCCAGTTTTCTCTCCCCCCCTCCTTTTTTTTTTCTTGCCAAAGCAAAGAGTTTTTAATAGCTAAAGAACGAAAACACCTCCCACGCCTCACCTCAGAAAAGCTAACTCTCTGTCTTACTCACTCTTTTTGATTTCCAAACCTCTCCTGCTAGCATAGATTCTTCCTTTGAAGCATTGGTTCCTCAAATACTAGTGTGTGAGTATAACTTTAGTAAATGGTGTATTTCCAATGGCCTCGAGGGGACAATCCACGTGAGTAAATAATTCAGATGTGGGATGGAAATCATGGCATTTGGCAGAGGTGGAAAATTTTTCTATTCGATACTGTGATTTAGTTGGAACCAAGATATTACAAGGGAATGTATTGACTTCCATCCAGGGCGGAGTAGTATCTCCCTTGCAGAAGATTTTAACAGTAGGCTTGAAGGTCTTCAGGATACCTAGGTGGTATTGATGTGGGTGGATTGACTAGATAATCTTTGACAGTTTCCTCTAACTCTGCTTATTCTGATTCACCATAGTGAAATGGAGGAAAAGATAAACTGAAGCAAAGAGCAATTGCTTTGACTTACTCATTTCCATAAACGAAACTAAAGTGGCTCAGCTGTACTGCTTCAATTTTTTTTTTTCTTTCAGACTGATATTAAACATTTCTTTGACTCCAAGATCACCTGCATATGTGATGTACTCTTTGCACAGATTAATTTTAGATCCTTGAGTTTTATCATTATCAAAACAGAGTGTCTCTTTCCCACTGGCTTTGTGCTGATTCCAACATCAACAAGGATCAGCTGTGCTGTACATTTATGTCTGTGGGAATGACTATGAAGACCCAACTTTATAGTGTAGTGAAACAAGAACTATTTTTGAATTATCAGTCAGCCATGGCAATGTGGAACTCGGCACAGCTTACTCTACTCTGTTTCTGGACTGAGATTTGTGCCCTGCATTATGTTCCATATTACCAAAGCAAAATTGCTAGCAACACCCAACTAAAACAAGCACTGAATGTTTACTCCCCATCACTGCCACTGCTTTGACTGCAGTGTAAACGCACCACTAATGACTTGGCCAATGGGAGGGGAAAATTACGTGTCAGGGCCAAGTACAGAACCAGAAATTTGGGCCATCAGCCAGTTTGTTAGATCACACGGTGTGCCTCTAATGAAATGCATTGATTTGTGACTCTTATAATAACATTTTTAGGAAATCATTTCACTGGATATTTATTGTTGGAGCAGCCTGGTGAGGTTAGAAAACTAAAGGAGATGCTGTGCTTGCAAATCAAGAGCAAAATTCTAAGAATGAGGTTAATTAACCATGGGAATAATTTTCCTAAGGATATGATGGGTTTTTCATCGTACTCTGTTGCACAGTCGATACCAGTTAGTTGAAAAAAATTGGTGCTATAGCTCCAGCAGAAGGTCTGTGTATTGCTAGAAAGGATTGTCTGAAGTTCTTTGGGTTCTATTATGCCTGAGGTGACACTATGTTGTTGTAATGGTCCGTCTTCATGATGAAAAATATTCATGAGCCTGTGACAGTCACTCAGTCTGGATGTTTGTGATTCTGTGGTGGAGTAACAGACTGAGATCCCATAAGTGGTAGATTTAAAGCTGGCAACAATTTTCATAAAAGGGACTACCAAATTACAAAAACGCATTCTGCAGAAGTGGACACCCTGCCAATCCTGCGGCTGATATAAAGTACCGTGATGAATTAGCAAGCTCAGAAAGAATTAACCCATTAATAAAATGACAGACTTGGTACATTGCAAAGCATCTGGTCAGATCTCATAGAATTTCCTAGCTGCTACATGTTCAGTTAGAGAGAAAGAAATAGTGGGGAGAGTCCATGACCACTTTGTAGTATTTCACTGGATACCGCAGAAGAACAGATTGGAATAGTAAGCAGTGGACAAGGTAAGCATTTATCTACTTATGGGTTTGTATGGACTCTTTTCTGGACTGGCTCCTCTTTTATATCCTTATATATTCATATAAAAAGTTGTCTTTTTCTTATCTGCTTGCAGTTCCTGGTTGGCTAAACTTCATAAATAACATTTTTGTGCGTGTTCTCAGGTGAACACACCTCAGAGTTGCCAGAGTTTTAAGTACTCTGTGAAAAGCAAGCCCCTTTAAATACTCTTATGTTGCCTATCTAGAAATTGAGGCATCCAGAATCTCTAGTGAGTCCTCAACGTCTGTATTGCTGCATTTGATTTTTTTATTTTTGTGTCTAATTTCTCTGTATTTTTTGAATGGTTGCTAACCATAAATATTGGGAAAAAAAATTCAGCAAAGACTTGTTCTGAGGGGAAAAAAAAAAAGAAAAAAAAACAGGGGAAAAAAATGTAGTAAGGTCCGAACTACTGGCAAGATTGTTTGTTCATCTTTAAGATGCATTTACTTATTCTGATTCAATATTTATTTCTGTTCTGCCACAGACTTGACATCCAGCAGCGTAAGCTGTTCATGTTTAAAACCTGAGTTCAGCTTTAAATGTGCTTAGACTAGAAAAAATATGCCTGGTGAGGTCATTTGCAGAGCAAGAGTTAATACATCATGCAAACAGCTAAATAAAGGTTACAATCTGAGTGGAATTATTCAGAGCTCAGGGAGAAATCTGGCATTTGCAGCCTGTCACTGGGTTTGAGAAGTCTGACTCTCAGTGTCACTGCCACCCGGAGACATCCTGCTTTCTGTGTGGCAGCAAGGGAGGGGACTGCAGCGCTGGACGGGCTTCCTGTAAAAAAACAGCAAAAACAGGAGAGGTGCGAAGTGTCATGTGCAGGGAATGTGTGGAATGAAGGGTAAGTATGAGCCCTTCTTTGTCCAGGTTTCACAGAGGGATTATGGGTGTAAATAGCCGATCTTCCTCCTCTCTTTTCCTCCTCAGGACAGCTGAAGAGCCAATGTCAGGACAGCATATGATCCCCAGTATGCCTGGGGAGGATTGCTGCCTGGAGGGCTGTGAAGAGCCATGTGCCTCTTGAGACCTGCCAGCTAAGTATTGCAATTCCTGGACGCTATCTGGTAAGCGCTCCTCATCCTTCTTTTCCACCAACATCCTTGAGAGTTGAGGGTGTCACTTTGAGGAAGGACACACCTCAGGTATCTATGTACTATAAGCAGGATAAAAACGCATCACATCTAATTGCCTGGGCTTTTTTAGAGTTGGCAATCTCCACAGAGGTGTTGTGCTAAGATAATGTTTTGCATTTCGTTTCCTTGTTTTGTTTCTATAAGCCAAGCACTTGGCTGATTGCAAAGGAAATCAAGCTCTATGGGCATTCACTTCAATGGGCCAACTTTAAACAAATCACCAGGGACCGGCTGCTGCAGAGTTCAAAGAGAAAGAGACATCCAAAACCTCTACCCAAGCCAAGTTATGATGGGAAATATCAAATACAAAGAGGAGAAAACTGGAAAGCACAGTAGGGTGAAAGACAGATGCAAATTGGTTTTCCTGTCCATAATTGGTCAGACTAAGGCGAGGCTGGAATGGAGATTTAATAACAAAACAAAACAAATCGTAAAATTTTGCTAAGGGAAGTTTGTCAAACATCAGGAAATGTGCTCTGGTGTTGGAGCTGTGTGCAATAATCTGGTACTTGACAAAATATCAGAAAATATATTAGAAAGAATAGTTCGGTGGAGGGCAGAAAGTGGATCAAAAACCCTGCTAAGTTCCTGCATTCATTCCTGGTTTTTTTTCTTTCCCCATTGATTTCAGAAGTTTTTCCAGGCTCACATAACATAAAAAGAAGGACCCACTCCCCGTATCACAGGCAAGGTAAGGAGGTTGTGTTCATAAAAATGGGGGAAGAAAAAGAAGGTAGAGTGGGGGGAAAAAAAAGGGGAGGGGAGAAGAACAGAAGTCTAAACTTGGGTGTTGCTTTCCTCCAGCACACTGAGAAGCAGTCCCAAAAAGACTAGAGAAAGATTGCCATCTTCTGGAAGGATAAATATCTGCCATTATTCAGAACACTAAATCTGTTACACGAGTATTTTTGAAACCATAGCATATTTCTGTTAAATTTCTTTTTCAACGTGAATTCTTATCCATATAAATCTAATTCAGTCCCATTTCATCAATATATATGCTGTGATCCGAGCTTTAGAAACTGACATAACATCCTGGATTTTAATGAGAGTCTCTTCAAGCTTAAAATTAGGAACATGTTAACATTAAGGATTATCAGTAGAGAGATGGACATTATCTATTCCTGAGCCTGAAAACGAGGCTGCTTTTTTTTTTTTTACTGAGCATTTAGGAGCCAAATTTAAGGTGTCCAGATGCAGAGAGACTGAACAATGAAAAAAAAAAAAAAAATTACCACTCTCCTTTTAAACAGCATCAGCTGTTATTCTACCTACTTCAGTAAATTAAGTACATCTCTGTCAAATGGAACCTTTTTATTAATCCAAAAGCCTGTAGGCAGTCCATGGAGCCCGGAAACATTTAGCATTGCTTTCAGTTAGTCCGTCTTAGAAATGATTATCTATATTAGAGGAATTTATGCAGCGACTAGGATTAAAACTGCCGCAGAGCTACCAACCATTCTGCTGAGGGCAGGAAGGGTCAGGAGCCCATGACAGTCCACGTAGGAGACCATGAATTCCGCCTGCTGCCTGTGCTGAGCAGGGACTATCACAGGCTCTGCTGTCACTCCGAGCTGTTTGTACACCAGCCTCTGGACTCTGCTGTTGGACGAGAGCAGATGGACCACTGGTTTCCTCTGTCCTGGCAGAGTGGCAGCAGGGCAGGCACGCAGGGAATCTGGTTTGCTCACTCCCAGTGGCAGTTGGAGCTGACCTGCTTGGCGATGGGTAAAGCCTTCCTGGGGAAGACGGGTTGCGTACCTTTGGGACGTTACTCTCTCTTGCAGTTTGATTCAGTGCGGTGCCGCTCCATGCCCTCTAGCGACAGCCTGTTCTCCTGAGAGATGATGTCATTCTTGCTTTTCATTCATTGCTCGGATACCAAAGGAGGGGTATCAACACCCTCAGGCATTGGGGGAGCCTTTAAATTTTCAGGACAAGACCTCAGAAGTGACTTCGGGGACTGTGAATTTTTACATCTCTCCTTACGAGCTTCCCAGATTCATCTGAAGTGAAGCTGCTGGCAGCTGGAATTCCTGATGAACTTGGCACCTTGGTAAAAGCTGCCACTACAAGGGGCATTGACAGTCTTCCCCATCCTCCCACCCTTTGAGTATTGGAGTTCTTTGACTCATCACGCTTTCCCATACCTCTGTCACAGTGGTGATGCCTTGGTGCTAGTCTGGCACCCAGCAGCTCTTCTGCTAAGGGGTTCCTTTCATCATTAAAATCTCCAGTGCTTGTGGGGAGAGCTGGATAAGCAGCTCTTCAGTCTGTAAACTTTCCTCTCCCCATTTTTTCCTTCTCCCCTTTCTGCGACTGCCAAGTTTGGTCGAGGTGGCAGGTAGCCTTTGCAGGCACGTGGCCTTTATCACGGGGCTGGGGGGAAAGCGTGTGGCCTTTGCCATTCTGCTGAGACAATGCACAGGGTAAGGGGTGCTGATGCCAAGGGAGGTTCTGACCTAAGGTCACTCGTTCCCTGAAGCATTGGCCAGAAAGCCACCAGCTCCCTCCATACAGGCTCCTAAACAGCCACTGTGTGGAAGTGGCCGGGATCTTCCTATGTTTTACTCAAACTTTCTGCTCAGTCAATACAGGTCACTACTATTCTGCACTTAATCCCAGGCTGCAGCACCAATCTTTTCCCATGTAATCTCCCAGAACAGCTGTGCTGTGATTGCATTGTGGATTACAAAATGTCCATTTTCCACAAAACAGCTGCTGGCTGGAGGGATAGCATTTAATAATCACTGGGTGGGTGAGGGAGGATGGGAGGAGACAAAGGAGAAAGGGGTTTTGAAGCAATTGGGTTTCTTGGAGCAGCTAAACAGCCGACAAAGCGTGAGTCCCATTTCTATATTGCTCCTCCAAATTAACAGGACTTCAAGGACTTCCTGCTAAGGTAAATTAATCTTTCTTTCCTTTCGGTACTATCTAGATACAATGGTCAGTTATTGTCAGTAAGTGCTTGGCTTTTATGGAGGGAAACTTCTCTGACAATGTTCTCATGCAGAAGTGGTTCATATTTGCTTCTCATTCCCCATGTCCTCTGCATCCTTGATTCAGTTCCTTCTTTTGACTCATTTTTTAATGTTTTTTTTTCCTTTTTCTTTATCACTTGTTCTGAAATTATATGGCCTTTCAACTACTGTCATATATCAACCAGAGAGAATGTTTTTCCCACTATTGAAGATTTAAATTAGAAAAAATGATTTTGGCAATATTATGAGTGGAAAGATTTAGCTTTTTTTTTATATAAAAGCAGAAGCAAATCAAAATCTGATGACAGAAAATCTCATAATCAAGCACTGATGAAAAACTGAAAAACTTTGTGTGCTGAAGATTTCTATTTTCAGGTAAAAAATCATGGTTTTGAGGAGAGCAATTTTATCTATAATTTCCTTTTCAGTCATAAGCCAAATTTTCCACTGAAAAACTTTCAGTGAAGAATTTGCCACCAACCTTAGCCAGACACCTCCACGTAATTAACTGTTCCTAGTAGTTATCTGCTCTGTGAAAATGGTGACATCCAACATGCCTTCAGATCATGGAAGTCATTTAATTGTGCTATTGCTAAGATGTTACCATCTCCAGGGTGCAACATCTCCATTGCTGGAGGAAAGAAATGCTCTGGTGAACAGACAAAAGAAGCCAGAGCATAAAACAATACTGGATTTTTTCAGGACTTGCCTATTTTCTTGCCTTCAGTGAGGGTGTTCTGGGTCAGGCACTGTTTTTAGAGTGTGACGAGATCCTAATGAAGTCCTGCTTTCAAAGAGGAGCTTCAGCACCGTTTTTACTGACCACATTTCCAAGCTTGCTGGTTAATAGCATAAGTGCTTCTAACCGCATCGCTTTTGGCTGTGGTGTAGCCACAAACAATGCAAAGCTCGGTCTCACATCATTTATTTATGGCAGTGTCCACAGTATGCTGGGCCTTTCTCACACGTTCAGCATTGAGTGAGTCAACTGAAGTTATGTGAAGAGGACCGGCACCAGGCAATGTCTGTACAAACTGAGTCTATTCACAGGCAAATAGATTCTGAGAGTCATAAATAGGAAAGGGTGGGAGTATCTGGATGAAGTTGTGCCAAACATAGGGAGTGCCATGTGGGAAGAGGCATGCGTTTATTACATGAAAGTTGATGTGTGGGTAGATGACATCTAATCAATCCATGGAGTGATAAGTTGGGGTTCTCAAAAGTCAGTGCAGAGTTTTGCAGGAACCATAAAACCTTGAGCTTCACTTCCATTGAGAAAGACCACAGGATCCTGGTACACAGACTGCTCTCTGAATTGCTTTTTCTTATGAGATGAAACTGGGGAGGGGTTTGTGGCAGCATTTGCTCTTAAAAAACACCCCTTTGACACTGTGTGAGAGCAGAGACACTCTCATACCACCACCCTACCAAATTTCTGAAGTCTGGAGCAGTGCTTGCTCAGGTGGAAGGTGCTGCTCTGGGCCTTGAACTCGAGCTGCCACTCAACCTGCCTCCTGAGCAGGTTGCTGCTTTGATGCGTGACCTTCAGTGATCTGGGAACATTTTCCTGACTTTCCTCTGTGTGAGATCAATACACTCCCTGCCTCTCTAGGTACAGGAATAAACTGCTTGAAAAAGTGTTTTGGGACACTTGACAACAAGACTTCTCATGTAGTTGGACAGAGTATTCATCATGCCCCATCTAAAGGCCACATATGGTATGTAGGGAGTTGGTTAACAGTTTTTCCCTGTCATCTCTGAGATGGAATCAATATGATGTCCCTTTCATTTTGCTCATGTGCTCACACATGATGATACACTCATATGTCTACTGGGTCACCCTCTCTTCCCCAGTACAGCTACTTGGGGTACTTTGAACTGGTTGAAGCTGACCTATTGCTCCACTGCCCTGGCTTTCAGGAAATGGTTCCTCTGTGCTGGGTGAGCTCTTGGGATGTTGTGAGCAGGGCGGAGTGCTCATGTCCTCTCCCCACAGGTGCATGCTGGGAAAAGCTGGAATTCATAAGGCTAGGTGGGACAACTGGCCGATGTGACAGTCCCCCCTGTTTGTGTGTTGTAGATGGAGCTGCTGAAGGGATGGCCGTGGCGCCGTGCTTTCTTGGCTGTTGCGCTGAACCTGCTGGCTCTCAGCCTCTCCACTACTGCCTTGCTTGGCAGCTACTGGTGCACCGGGACCCAGAAAGTGCCCAAGCCTCTGTGTGGGAAGAGCAAAGATGCCAAGTGCATTGGTGTCCCCATTGTGCCTGATGCAGGTGCTGGCAATGTTTCATCTGAGGATGTGGAACACTACAGCTGGGAGACTGGGGACGACCGCTTTGCCTTCAGATACTTCCACACTGGGATGTGGCTTTCCTGTGAAGAGAGCATGGAAGGGCCAGGTACTGTCTTGCCCAGGCAGCCACAACTTGTTCCCTTCTTTTTACTCCACAAGAGTTTGAGAATGAGGGGGGGAGCTGACAACACTTGGGAGAAAAGCCTCCTTCATCTTCCTAGATGGCATCAGCCCTGTGCACTGTCACTATATTTCTGTCCTTCAATGGGATATTCAACAAAAGGAGGCGAGGGAGAATGTCTCTGATGTGTTCTTTGGTTTGGAATGGGGACTGTGAAGTACAAATGGTAGTGACGGTGACAGTGGTTTTGTGATGGTATCATTCATCCTGATGTGAATTCCCTTCCTTTTCCCCATGTCTCCATTCCTATACACAGCTTACTTCATGCTCTCCAGGGCACATTTGTGCACATCCCATCAGAAATCTAAGCAGGGTGATTTTATGCAGTGTTGTCAATTTATAGCTATCACTGCGAGGACTGCAATAGTTGGTGTTGTCCTTAAATCACCAAACTGAGAGGTTTTGTGAATTGAACATAGACTGGGCTTTTCTTAAAAAAAAAACAACCTTAAAAAAAAAGAAGAAAAAAAAAGAGAGAGACAAAGAGAAGTATTGCCTTACAGATACAGAGAAAACTTGGAGGATCTGAACCAAGAAGAACTAAAGCTAGGAGGCAAATTGACCTGAGGTTTAAAGCTGCAATATTGTAATCTTTTTAGTTGCTTTTGTGATATTGCGACAGACTTCATGTGTGATTTTTGACCATGTGGGACTGGCACTGTAAAACCTGGAATCCCAGGGGCTGGTCATCTGAACTGCACTAGACCCCTTTGGTGCCTCCCTTCACCCTTGACTTGCTCCTGCCAGCCCTGCTGCCTTCTGCTGAAAGCTGTGCCGTGCTAGCACAGGTGGATGCTCTGCAGTGCACAGATGCTCTTTATGGCCTGGTACACACATCGAGGATCAGAACGGACCCAGAAAGTGGCCAAGAGGAAGATTTGTATCTAAAGATACAATGATGAAAATCATTTTCATCGGGACCATTCCACTGAGCCCATCTTCCCTTCAGCTTTCCCCAAAGTGCAAATATCTCACCTTCTTTAACTAAGTCACTGTTCTAGTGTAGCATTTCTCATTTTCTTATCTGTCACTGTCAGAGTTTGAAAATAAAGAACTGCTGAATAAAAGCAGACAGAAGGGAGGCGGGAGCAGGAGGGAATGTGCTTGAAATTCTCATGTCCTAATGAGAGAGCTGCTTGAAGCATAATGATTATGAGCATTTCCAGACATGCTGCGGAAGGAGATGTGTTTTTTTGGGACTGCTTTCGGTTGAGGTGTGTTTCCATGGTGATTGTGGGAATGGGACTACATCCTTTGACAGCTTTCTCTGAAAGTCTTGTCTGGCCACCAGGCAGTCCTGAAATAACCCCAAAGGCTGATGGAACACAGAGAGAACATGTTATATCTGGATCATAGGACAGCACGGGGTAGGTCACATAGTCTCAGTCCTCTGCTTCCTATAAATCAAGTACAACCTACCCACTGCTGTGGGTCTTTGAAGCAAGTGCGTAAACAACAGCAACAGCAACAAAAGTGGGCTACTGTGAGCAAAAGGAGTTTGAGCTGGAGAAAAGATTTGATTATTCAGGCTAATCTCTGGATCTATTTAGACGAGCCATTACTGAATAACCTCATTAAAGTTCTAAGTGAAGTAGCAAACCACAAGTTAATGAGGACTGCAGATGGTACTAAACTGGGTAGCGCTCTGAGAGCTGTGGGTGACTGAAGTAATACAGGAGATTGGGAGAGATTAGGACTGGGGATAGAAATTAAGAAAATGAGATTCTTACATGAAAAGCAGCAAGCTGATACTTCTGGGAGAAAACACTGTGCCAAGCAGAGGAGAGGACCCTCAAGTGCAATAATGATGTATGCAGTAAGAAAGACTTACAGATAATAAAGATGGACCCTCAGCTGAGACCGTAAGTTTACATCTGGCCAACATAAAAAGCCAAAGCAAACATGAGCACCAAATAGCCAGTCTAAAATGTGAGTATAGAATACCATATTTCTGTATGATTCTCTGCCACAGAAGAGGGACTCACACCTCTATCATGCAGTATTTCACTTAGGAAGATTTTTTTTTTGGTGTTTTTCCTTGGAAGCAGTGCTATAACTGCTCTGCTAAGACTGGGGTGAGTGGGATTTCATGTCCCCATCAGAAGTGGTGGGTTTGCAATCTGTTATAAGATACACCCTTAATAGGCCTGACCAACAGTAATGTTGTGAATGAGTAGCAACAGATTTTTATACTCACCAGAGGCTTGTAAGGTTTACAAATTGCTGAAGTGCTTTTTCTGCAAAAGCCACTTCTAGTTTTCCAGGCAGACATTGCCTTCCCTACCTTGCCCCAGTAAAGATCTGGAAAGATGGTCAGAAAGATGGTCAGAAAGAGAGCAGAGAAGATCTGATGGGTAGACTCAGGGATGACAGGAGTGATGCAGTGAAGAGAGTGGGAGGAAGAGATTTTCTTTTCCCTTATGTATCTTGCACTATTTTGCAAACTAATACCTTTGTTTTCATGTTTCAGAAGAGAAATGCCGTAGTTTTATTGAGCTTTCACCACCAGCAGAGAGAGGTAAGAGCAAATCCCCATACCTCACTGTAGCTGCCCAGTGCATCACCTTGGGATGGGGGACATGCAACATTTCACCTCTGTGAGGGCAGCAGGATGTGTCCCCTAAAAAGCCAGGCATGAAATTCTGGCCTCATGGTTGCTAAAAGAATAAAGATTTCCTCCCAGATGTTTCCCTAAACCGCTGCTATCTGTGAGGTCAGTGCTGGAGACTCCCTTCCATATGAAGTGGGATTTGTCTCAGCTAATAAATTGTCCAATCTGAGCATGTCATGTTGCTGTAGTCAGCAAGAAGAGAATGGGCGCCACCTGAGGGCAGTCCCTCCCACATACGCTATGTCCACTGAGTGCTTCAGTTCTGAGCTGTAATCTGGTGAATCTGGAAGTTCAATCACTTCTTACTTTGTGGTGAGTGACTAGGACATCTGAAAGTTACACTTTCAGGGGAAAGTCCTTGCCTCATCAATAACAAAACTTCATTTGGGTTGCAGAGATCATCTCTCCTGCCATTGTCACATGTTTTAAATTATCCTGGGGATAACTTCAGTATACCTGGGTGTACGTGTACATATGCAATGGAGATTTTACTTGCTGAAAGCTTTTCAGTTGGTGTGGGCTTGCTAGCTACTCCCTCAGATGGAGGCAGAAGGCAAGTCATTTCAGGTGGTGTTCATACAGTTGCAAGAAAAAGTATGTGAACCTTTTGGAATTTCATGGTGTTCTGCATTAATTTGTCATAAGATGTGATCTAACTGTCATCTAAGCCAAGAGTGTTGACAAATATAATGTGCCTGAAGTAGTAACACAAAAACAATTCTGATCCTCCATGTCTTTACTGAGCGCACACATTCAACATTCAAAATGCTAGTGGAAAACTAAGTGAACCCTTGAGTTGACCTCAGAAAAGCTAATCAGAGTCAGGTGTTAGCATATCTGAAGTCTTGATAAGAAAATGAGTTTGGAGGTGTGAACTAGACCTATGTTGACTGACAAAAACCATTCAAACTTTTTGAGTTTGCTCTGCACAACATGTATGCTTATGCGAGCCATGCCTCGCCAAAAAGAGCTTTCAGAGAATCTATGATCAAGCATTGTTGATTTACATAAAGCTGGAAAGAATAACAAAGTGATTTCAAAGACCTTAGAAATTCACTGGTCTACAGTTAGGCAAATGATCTACAAATGGAGATCCTTTGGGACTGTGAGTATTCTACCAAGAAGGGGGTGCTCTGTCAAAATGACCCCAAGAGCACAATGAAGACTCATCAATGAGGTAAAGAAACAACCCTGAGTGACAGCCAAAGATTTGAAGGCATCACTGGAACTGGCTGACATCTGTGTTCATGAGTCTACAGTATGTAAAACATTGATCAAGCAGGGTGTCTATGGCAAGACATCATGAAGGAAGCCACTGCTTACTACAAAGAACATTGCTACACTCCTGACGTTTGCAGAAGAGCACATTGACACTCCCCATTGGTATTGGCAAAATGTTTTGTGGACTGATGAAACAAAGATTGAACTATTTGGCAAGAGCACATAACACTACATCTGGTGTTAAAAGGGCACTGCATATAATTATGAAACCATCAGCCCAACCGTAGGGTATGGTAGAGGAAACATCATGATTTGGGCCTGCTTTGCTGCACCAGGGCCTGGCCAGCTTGTAGTCCTTGAGGGGAAGGTTAATTCCCAAGTGTACCAAAAAACTCTTCGAGATAATGTGAGAATGTCTGTATGTCAGCTCAAACTCTGTAGATGAAATTCTGTAGACTTTGGGTGATGCAACAGGACAATGACTCAAAACACCAGAGCAAGTCCACAACAGAATGGCTTCACAACAACAAAATCCGCCTTTTGGAGTGGCCAAGTCAGAGCCCAGACCTCAACCCAATAGAGATGCTATGGAATGACTTGAAGAGAGCTATACATATGAGATGTCCAAAGAATAGGACAGAGCTAAAATCCCTTCCGGATGATGTGCATGTCTGATCCACAGCTACAGGAAGTGCCTGATTGAGGTTATTGCTGCCAAGCGCAGGGCAACCAGTTGTTGATTCCAAGGGTTCACTTATTTTTTCCACTAGCATTTTGGATGTTGAATCAGTGTGTTCAATAAAGACATGGAGGATCAGAATTGTTCTTGTGTTACTACTTCAGGCACATTATATTTGTCAACACTCTTGACTTAGATGATGGTTAGATCACATCTTATGACAAATTAATGCAGAACACCATGAAATTCCAGAAAGTTCACATACTTTTTCTTGCAACTGTATGTGAATGGAAAGGCTGGTGGTGCAGAGCCTGTGTCAGTGTTCAAGCCATGACAGCAAGGACTAGAATGACCACTGAGGAATTTGCAACTCCCGTCAGAGAGATCAGTACTTTGAGGAAGCTCCTCTTGGTTTTCTGCCTTGTTTCCCCTATTTTAAAAACACTGTCAAAGACTGTTGACCTGCTTTTATAAAGCGATGCACATTCCCAGGTGAGGGGTCCGGTGGGAGTTGTGTCCAGTGGCATCACTGTGCAGATTAACCTGGGTCACTCTTGACACAACAGGAGGGTAGAAAAGCCTTCTCTGCTTATTCTTTTGGGAAACAGTATTCATGCAATTCAAAGACTGCTGGTGTTAAAGATTCTTTCGAAGTCATGTAGATAACTTTGTCATAAAATGAATGATTTAACTGCATTTACTGAATGACTCCTGCATTTACCTCAAAAGGCTCACTTCACAGGGAGCAACACATTTTCCCTCTTTCGCACCTTCTTGTCCTTCATTCCTTGCCCGGGCCTCTGTTGCTTCAGATGTCTTCCTTATAGACTGTTTTCCTAAGAAAAGAGGTTTATGCAACCAGATTATGTCTCTGTACATCTGTCTGTCCCCGCTCACACTCCTCCTACTGCTCTTTTGTCTAATTGCAGCCCAACACTGAGAGAAAGGATGTGTTTTATAACAGTGAGCTCCTACAAATTAATTGGAAAATCACTGTAAGCTTAAGCATGACACTCATAGTGATACTGTGGTCTTAACAGCTCTGTAACACACTTTCACGCCTTCCTGCACATGATCTTAAGATGACCTTGGCCTCCGGGACAGCTGCTGCTGGGCCAGCACTGGAGAAGGTGATGTGACTGCTGATTGCAGTCTGGGCTGGCTGAGCTGGGTGTGTGGAGAGCAGCTTCATATTGCATAGGCAGCATTACAAGACCAGATTACATATCACATGTGGTGAGTTTGGACTCATAGAGAAAGTGATGCAGAGACCTCTGTGCATATGTGGTGCCTGCAGTCTCCAGGATATTTTCAGCAGTCTGAACCTCTAATGAAATAGTCTCCCTGATGGTGCTGCAGCAAGCAAGCCAGGTCCTTTAACCAGGGAATACAGCTCATCATCTCCTACTGAAGAGCTGGGTGATCCAATGACTCTAATGACATTGAGGAGTCACATCAGTGCCACATTAATGAGGGCTTTCTTTACACTCCTTTTCCCCAGTTGAATGTCTCCTCCATGGCCATTAATAGTTGCTCACAGTAGTGTTCATGGTGCTGCTTCATTTGTCTGATTAATGTGCTTCTTCCTCAGTGAATCCTGTGCTTTTCCACAGCCTAGCATTGCTGAGTGCCTTTTCTCATTCTCCTCCAAGTCCTACTGCACAGTGAGCTCAGCTGTGGACTGTGATATCACTTAAGTCCGACTCATAATCCCAGCATGAAAGTACCTGCTCAAGCAGCTCCGTGAGTGGTGAATGTTATTGCCCTATCTGGATATCCACCCCGAGGAATGTAGTTTCATTTTAATTGGTGTTTCAGTAAGAAATACAGGTCTGCAAGGGGCTGCCTGAATCCCAGAGGCCAGGTCCCACCTGCAGCTGTGGTGGTACCATACAGTTGTTTACTTAACCAGTTGAGTCTCAGGTTGAAATTCATTTGCTTCCAGTGTGGTGATCAAAAACCTCCTCTGAAGGTCACTATACCCAGCTCAGATGTGTGGTCAACCTATGACCACTAGGTCTTGTGTTAATACTTAACAGCTTTCCCCCTGGCCTTTTCCCATCGTTTCCTCCTTGCTGTTTATGAATAATTCTGGCTTGTTTACAGTCACCATTTTAGTTCCTCTCAGCTTCTGCCACGTCAGACTAGTCAAACCATCTTCTGTGACAGACTGACTGTCCCCTTCAGCATGCTCACAGGCTAGTGGGATTGCTTTTGGGTGTTTGTTGTTTTCCTTCTTTGTCTGCTTTGCAAAGAACACCTTCTCAGGATTGGGTTGGGAAGAGGGAGTGCTCTCCCTTGAGCAAGCCATCCTCTACTGATGTGAGAAGTCTCTGGTTCCCGGCAGGAATCCTGTGGCTATCGCTGGGATCAGAGATGCTCTACATCAGCTTGCTGCTCATCAGCTTCATCCTCCTGATGGTGGAAATGCTGCATACTGGGAATCCTGTCTGTGGGTTGAAGCTCAACGCCTTTGCTGCTGTCTCGTCAGTTCTGTCAGGTAACTGTGTTATCGCAGGCTTGGAATGAGGGCAGCAGGAGAACCTCCTCTCCCACACAAGGTTGAAGCATGCTGCTCTAGCTACTGCTGTAACTTCTTTGCTTTCTTGGTTTTTTGAGTCCAGGTCTCCTTGGTATGGTGGCACACATGATGTACACTCAAGTCTTCCAGGCCACGGTTAATCTGGGACCAGAGGACTGGAGACCACACTCATGGGACTATGGCTGGGCATTCTAGTACGTGAGCTCTGAAGCTATCTTCACCTCCTTAGCCCTTTCTGGGCTTTAAGCAACGCTACACCCTGTCAAAACTCACCTCCTCCTTTCTTGACCTTCTGTGTTTCAAAAGACAGGTGCACCATGGTTCTCTTGCTGCTAATCTCCTGTCTTTGTCTCATCCTCTGCTTTAACAAATACTTGCTGAGTTATTTAAATGAGTAGCTACCAAGGACTGGTAAAACAATGAGGTCACACCAAAACAAGTGCTTTCAACCCTGCTGACTAATCAGGTTTGCCACTATGCTGGTTTGCCCTGTTTGGTCTCAGCTCTTCCCTGTGTGCAGAGGCCAGTGTCACCCGTGTGACGATGCTCTCAAACCTTCCTTGTTTTCCTGCAGTTTAAATTACATACCGGTTTGGCATCTTCACTAACCAATGTCCAAAGGGCCTATTCCTGAAGCACCAAGCCTAGATGTGAGCTTAAAGATGAGGATGCTGTAGCCAGGAGGAGCAGTTGCAAAAAATAGGTGGCTCATGGTTCATTTCTCTACAGGCTAAAGAAACCCACCACAGCTGATACGCCGTAACTGACTTGAAAATCAACAGTTGGATGAGCCTTGCAAGTGCCCATGGAAAATGCAGACTCAATTTGCAATGCTCTACTGGCAATAACCACATTGATTCTTAAGACTTAAACACTCCAGTGACACGTGCCAGCTGTGGACATCAAATGTCAGCACAGCCATCTGGTTATGCTCAAGCAGATGTGCCTCATGCCCAGGAAGACACCCAAAAATACAGAACTTGTTTCCAAGCTGTGCTGTTTTGCTCTGACCAGTTACAGACTTCCCTGCTGCCCTTTTTATTTTCCCTGTATCCCTCCCTTCCCTGTGACAGGGATGACCAGTATTCACCCCACCAATCTAAGAAGGATCTTGGGGTGGGATAACCTCTAAGAACTGTTATCTTATGAGCCTTAGTCTTTCTAGATCATGTGCATGCCCTAGTTCCCATGCAGCTTCTGCCTGGCAGATCAGGCTGCATCCCAGTGCATGCAGTTCAATTCCTTACCCTACTTGGCTTCTCACAGCACTTGCTATTCTTTTATCTCCCCCGTAGCATGGCCTGGGCTTCCTTCACCTGCTGCATGGCCTCTGCTGTCACCACCCTCAACACCTACACCAAGACGGTGCTGGAGTTCAAAAGAAACCACATCAAGACCTATGGTGGGAGCTTCAAGGATCAGCCTCAGCACCACCAGTGCTTCATACAGCAGCAGATAAGCAGCTACTATGAGCCCCAAAATAAGCTCCTCCGTTCAGTCTCTGAGGGAGTCGACTTCTACTCTGAGCTGCAGCAAAAAGTGCTACAACGGGAACCAGAGCTGGAGCTGGATGATGTCTTGGGACAGATGACTGGGGAGGATCGCTGTTAGGGATGAGTGTGCAGGGGCAGAACAGTGGGGTTTGGGAGGCACAAAAGCTCTGAACCAAACGCTAGCACCACTATTAGCAAGTTCTTGGGGAGCTCTTCCCTCCTCTATGGTACAGGGAGTGAGAAGGTGGGCACTGGGCCAGGGCAGCAGCAGTGCCGACAGTAGCAGGGTGGGTCCTCCCTGATCACCATTAGATGGGTGTCCTCAGCTGGCAAGCGTGAAACTGGAGGGACATGTTGCTGATGCCAGCTGTCTCCAAGCACTTTCAGACAGAGTTGAGGCAGATGTCCTAATCCCAGCAGTGTATCTGGGAACAGATAAATCAGTGCCATCCAGCTGGCAAATTGCAGGGATGGGCCCCTTTGGATGGTGTCACATTGACCTTCCGGCAACCCCTCTGGCTCAGTGCTACAGTGGAGGGCATCGCTGCTCATATTGACTGGCTGCAATCCTCTCTAAACACCCTATTTATTCTTCATTTCCAGGCTCAAGCTCCTCTTCTCCCCCAGATTAAAAGAACTGCTGCAGTAGGAAGGGGGGTTGCTTTCAGACATATCTGTCTCTCCTATCTATGACTCCCACATCTCCCCTCTTGCTTTTACCCTCAAAATCTCCCATCTGAGGTACTTTCCTGTTTGTCTCTTTCTACTGTGCTTCTCCACAACCTTTAAGAATCCTTGGCTGGGGTTTTGCCTTTTTCTTTGTTCCTCGTCATCTGTCCCCTTTTCCCCTGCGCAAAAATGTTGCAAACAATCCCCAAATCAAGCAAAGTCATAATCTGTCAAAGGTGATGTGGCATTAACAAGGTGAAACACTGGTTCACAAGACACATGATGTTGTACACAGTATTTATTTGCTCCACCGCAGTTCACAGTTCAAATACATTTTCCCAACAATATACAGACAGACTCTTTATTCACAGTGGGGATGTGTGTGTGTGTGGGCAGAGTGAATTCACATTATCGAGGAGCTAACATCACTACAGTGAATTATCAGTTCTCTTAAGAAGAACCTCGGGAGAATAACTACTTCAGGTAAATTCAGGTAACAGCTTCACCTTTCCCAGCAAGGTGGTGGCTAGACAGGAGGTAAGGGGCACTCCTGTTTAATCCTCATATGTTACTGATTCTCACAATTTCAGTCCCTATTATGCAGCTGTATTAACTGACTATATCTTATAAATACTAACCCCTGTCTGGAGGAAAATGCCAGGCCCATAGCCATTGCTACAGTTGTGCTAATATATACAAAGCTATTTACACAAAAAATCCATTAACATATACAAATTGTTCACAGGCTCCGACGTTAAGAGAGCAGAGCCCAAGGACCAGCCTTGGGGCTTGCAGCTAATCCTCAAGGGCTATCCTGGAAGCTTTATATGGAGATGCAGGGACAGAGAAGAAAGAGGGTGATATAGCAAACAGAGGTGTCAAGAGCCCAGAAGAGCAAACCCATGGTAGATGTGCTCATCTGGAGGGAGTGTCAAAGTCCTGCCATCACCTCACCATGCACAGGGATACGCAGGGAGGCTCAAGAGCATGTGCCAGGAGGACAGAAGAGTCCTTTGCAATCCTCATCTGAGCCTGTCTCTGCTTAACGTCAAAGCTCAGATCTAAAAAGGCATACCAGGAAAACAGTTCCTACTTTGCTGTCCTGCACTGTGGAGAGCTGCTGAGTCACTGAAGTGGTTACTTTTTATATGGTCACTTCTACAGCAAGAAAATTCACTAGATGCTCTGCAACTATAACATGGGAAACTGATGACACATTCAGAGGCACAGCTCAAAGCACTAAGCATATTGTATGCAAATGCGCCCTGGGGGTAGTCTGTTCCTCCTGGACTCTTGCTGGAAGTGTTTGGGGCCAGGATGGATGGGGCTTTGAGCAACCTGGTCTAGTGGCAGGTGTCCCTGTCCATGGCAGAGGGGTTGCAGCTAGATGATCTTTAAGGTCCCTTCCAAGCCAAACCATTCTATGATTCTATGATCTGCACACAGGGCTGGGCTGGCAAGGGAATGGTAACATTACAGCCCAGAATAGGGGTAAAACACACAGAAAAGCTTTCCAGTTCTGTCTGTGTCTGAGCCTCTACATGGTGAAGCAGTGGTGTGAGACAGCTTTGCTGTGTCCGGATCTAACATGATCTTTACAGTGGGGGTCTGCTAGGAATCTATCCTGTGAATGCTGTGACGCATTTGCAAAGGGGACTCGGCCTATTGCAGTGTTATGTTACACTGATATTTTGGGTTCATAAAAACCTTAGGAGTGGATAGGATTAAGAAATGAACCTTTTGCTTCTACATTACTCACATGAACTGGTCCTGAACTTGGGGTTGGGGAAAGAAAATATACAAGTGCAAGGGCTGGAAAATGCTGTAGGGATCGTCTTTCTCTAGATCAGGTAATTTAGTCAGAAGGGTAGATTGTGAGTTTGGGGACAGAATGGAGAAGAGGGCTGACAGCCCAGAAAAGACTGTAGACAAGAGTAGCCCTACAGGAGTCAGACAGAGGCTTCTATCAAAAAAATATAAAGATTAAAGCAGGTGGTGTCCTTTAGCCACACCATTTGCCTTGAGTCATTATGGCCCACTCTAGGCCTAGAGCTTGTTTGACTGCCTGGGAATACTGTCTGGACATATAGTGTTCTAAATCTCATTCATAAATTAAACATACAAAAACTATACATATATTATATAAATTGATACATATATATATATATATAAATCATGTTTTATATATATATATATGTATATGTATATGTATAT